ACTTACCTTGGAGAGAGAAGGACAAGAGTCGTGTCGGTGTCGGTGTCGGCGTCGACGGTGAGTCGGTGTGGAAGTCGGAATCCAAATAGAACTCTGATGAGAGAGCGCCTGCCATTTTTCCAGTCATCATAGAGTAGTATATCGTAGGTCTCAACACTACAAGGGCATGCATGATAAATTGGGATTGTTTTTATTGTAAATTTTATTAGCCGATCAAATCGGAAAATTTTTAATCGATTTTTAATGATTTATCTACTCAATTTATTTATGCGAATTAGTCCGAATGTGTTTTGAAAAGAAATTTATTTGGGCTAATTCGGTCAGCACAAATTTGGCAGAGTGGTCTGTTTTTAATATTAAGAGCACCTCCAAGTTGAAACAAAAATTTTATTAAATTTTAATAAAAAATTAATGAAAATTTTGATTTGATGTTGTTTGTTTTAATATTAAAATAATATTTTTATCAAATTTTTTCACATTTCTGGTTGTCCGAGCAGATATCGTAGAGGTCATCCGGACATGAACAAAAAAAAACTGCCAAATTGCCTTAGGTGGACATCCGGTCCAACAGTAATAATTTAAATTTGATAAAATATCTAAATAATTTAAATTTGATAAAATATCTATTTCTCCCTCTATTTGATATCACTTTGATAAAAGCGTTAGAGTTCATTTTTTAAGATTTTTTTTTAAAAAAATTGAATTTGATAAAAGATTTGAGCAATCGTTAGAGATGGTCTAAGAGATGTTAATCATAATTTCTATAAAGAGAGAGAGAGGGAGAGAGAGAGAGAGGGGGAGAATTTTAGTTTAAGGGATTGATATTAAGATTTTATAAGGTAAATAATATATAATATCTTTATATGTGACGAATTAAAATTTTTCTAATAATATTATTGATGCCCTTAATTAATATAAAAAATATATATTTAACCTCTCGTACTATCAAAAGTTGGGGAGAAATGTTTTATTAATTTCTCAAAAAAAAATTATATATATAATAAATCATTATCTCACTAAATTAATTGAATAATTAATCTTATACTAATTTATAAAATTAATAATTTTCACTAATCAAATAAGGCCTAATTTTTTTTTGTTTTTTTGGGCCTATGGTCATTATTTTGATGCGATTAAATAGGATAGAATTATCGATAAAACTGTGAGATATAAATTATATTATAGAATTAGGCGAGATGAAATATTATATATATGATAAAATTTTGAAAAATAAGTTATACTTTTGAATAGGAAAATATACTAATTTATAAAATTAATTGAATAATTAATCTTATACTAATTTATAAAATTAATTGAATAATTAATCTTATACTAATTTATAAAATTAATTGAATAATTAATCTTATACTAATTTATAAAATTAATTGAATAATTAATCTTATACTAATTTATAAAATTAATAATTTTCACTAATCAAATAAGGCCTAATTTTTTTTTGTTTTTTTGGGCCTATGGTCATTATTTTGATGTGATTAAATAGGATAGAATTATCGATAAAACTGTAAGATATAAATTATATTATAGAATTAGGCGAGATGAAATATTATATATATGATAAAATTTTGAAAAATAAGTTATACTTTTGAATAGGAAAATGTTTGGTAACTCAAAATTTTGTGGCTCAAATGGCTCAAATCTGTTAAAACGACATCGTTTTACACTCATTTAAACTCAAAACGACGTCGTTTTGAGTGATTTGAGCCATTTGAGCCACAAAATTTTGAGCTATCTAGCATTGTTGTTTTGAATAGATAGATGTGAGAAAATCTTATGGTACAGACCTCTTCAAGGGTGTGTACCATATGCAACCGACTACAGAATATATAATTTTACTATAAAATTTTGTAATATCAATTACAAAATGTACAATCTCATTATAAATTCACGAAATAAAATATTCAAAAATTTATAGTTCATATAACAAAAGTGGTGGTGGATGGTGTGGGGTGGCGAGAAGAGTGGGAGATGGAGAGAGAAAATGAATGAAAAATTATTTTTTAAATAAATGAAACCAAATAAAAAAAAAATGAAGTATATTATAATGATGTATACACATGAAAATGTGAATTTGTTAAATTATATGTGTATGTTTGTGTATATAAATAGAAAAATATTATGAACTCACCCTTAAGAACTCATAATTTATCCCAAATGGATTTGTATGGTGGAGTTGATGAAGTGTGAATTCATGTGTAAAATGAATTTGAACTATTAATTTATTTTTTTGGATAAATTTTGAGTTGATTGAGATGGATTTGTAGTGTTGTTGATACAAATAAATAAAATTATATATGTTGCAACATATGCAATATAGGAGAATAATTTAATCTCTAGAAAGTTTAACTTAAATAAATAAATATAATTTTAATTATAAATTTATTTTTAAATTGAATACTCACTTTAATAGTCAATATAATGATTAAATTAGTAGGAGAATTAATATATTAAAATTAAATAATAACTCTAATTATTTAATTTTATTATTTATTTATTTTTCTATTAAAGATATTTATAAATTGAAATTTTATAAAAATTAATTTAAGAGTTTAATTAAATATGGGTTTCGACATATGTATAATTTTAAAAAAATACACATTATGTCATAGAAAACGTGACTTAAACGTATGATAACTTTCGGATAAGCTTCTCTTCATCTCATTTTGCTACACCTCTCCATACTTTTTTTTTGTAGTTTTTTATATGAATTCGCATCGAAAATCCAAAATGTCTATCTCGTAAGCTTCACAATAAAGGTCATTCATACAAAAAATTAACTTCATCATAAAGGGCTATTTTGGGAAGATGGTAATAATCAGTTTTTTGGTAAAAAACTGCTTATAAGCAGCTTATAATCAGTTTTTTTGTGAGAGACAGATTATTACCAACTTCCCAAAATAAGCCAAAATTATAAATAAAAAAATAAATTACATTTTGTTTTATAAAATGAATGGTAAATATAATTAAATTTAAATATCTATTTTGTAAAATAAAATACAATTTGTTCCCATATTTATAGTTGTTCGATGAACTTAATTTTTTGCATGGATAATTTTTATTGCGGATCTTACGAGACAGACGGCTCGGATTATCAGTGCGGATCCGAATTGAAATCCATAAAAAGAGTATAGAGAGATATAAAAACATGAGGTATGAAGGGGAGTTTGTCCCGATAACTTTAATATTAAATTATAATATAGCACAATGTTATAAGCACAAAAATAAAGATTTATTAACTTATTTAATTGGTTACTTAATAAAACTAATATTTAAACAAAAATTAACATACAAAGAACTTAGGTGTGGATATGAAAACCTAGTAATAGAAATTAGAATCAAAATGTAAAATTTGTAGACTAAAATAAGTTATTTTAATTTGATAAATGGTTGGGTTAGAAGGAAAAATGCAATTAATTGATGTAGAATTATTCAATATTGGATATATTCCATAAAGAATAATGTTATATACACCAATTAGTTTATTAGTGTACTAACTAGTGTACCAATTCACGATGTGACATAATTTAAGATGTTTTTGGTATTTATAATTTGTATAATGAGTGATCAATAATAATGTCATAATTGGTGTTGATATATTAATAGAAAAATGATGGAGACCACTAATTAGTGGTTGCTCTAATGATGTGGCAGTGGATTCCACCCACTGCCACATGTATTTTGTGTCTTAATTTTGTTTTGTTTTTTGTTTTTTTTGCTTTCCACATCATTAGTGATGGTGTTAGTGGTAGGAATTTAGTGGTCTGTAACATTGTTGATATTAATAATACACTAATTAGTGCATGTAGCACTACTGTTCCATAAATTCACATGTGCCAAGAGAGTTGGGCCCATATTAATAAGGTGTAACAAATCAAAAATTGACTCACATTATTGTAGGTCAAGTTGTGAAAGTTTTTGCGGGTCTTAAACATTTTCTTTTTACAAATATCACACTTAATTTGACAATAAATAAATAAAGCGAGTCAACCTAATACTCTTATGATGTACTATTTTAAAAATATATATAATTATGTACTGCGATAAGCACTATACCATAACTCGCACTACAACAAGTTGGGTCTTGAATGACGAAATTTTTTTGTCTCCAAAGAGCTAATTTCGTCACTATAAATATTTGTGAGGAAATATTTTCATCACCAGTTTCGTCATTGAATGTTTGTCACTATAAACCACCGTGACGAAAAATAATTTCGTCACCAATGAAATTACTTCAGTGACGAAATTTTTTGTCACCAATAAAACAAGATTTTATCACCAAAAATTCTCATTTTCGTCACCAAATAATTATTCAGCACCATATTTATAATTTTAGTTGACGAATAAATTTGTCACACATGTTGATCATTGATGAGGAAATAATTTTGTCACAGTAAGATGTAAAAGTGACGAAATTTTTTGTCTCCAAAAGTCAAATGGATGACGAAATATATTTCGTAGCAAGAATTTATATACGTGACGAAATTTTTAGTCACCAAATAACAAAATCAATGAAAAATTTCATATATAATCTGCAATAAATTTTCTCACAAAAAATATTTATTAACGACGAATAATCACTTTGTCATAATAACAAGTTAAAATGACGAAACAAATTCGTCACTAAATTTATTCCATATTTTATATTTCAATTTAAATTATTATTTCACAAATATCTGTGCTTATATCCCAATAGCCTTTTAAATGTACTAAGAAATCCACTAGCTATTATACACCACTCCACAAAACAATTCACTAAACAATTATATTATAAATCAAAATATATCCATCAAACAACTTTAATAATAATCCATTAAGTATAACAAAAAAACCATCAAAGCAAATCCCAAAATTAACTAACGTGGAGTCCATAAAAAAAAATCAACACTCAATCTTGATTTGCAACTACAACTAAGTATCACTTCAGTCAAAAAAAAATTTGACACTTGATCTTGATTTGCAAGTATGCTTCCAAATTTCAACACTCAGTTTTTCAAAGAAGAACCAACTTGGGATTGAAAAAAAGAGTTGAAGAAGTTGCGAGAAAAATTAACAAGGAATGGCGTATTTGTAGGGCAAAGGATGAGAGAGAAAAGAGAGAACAGAGACTTGCCATCTTTGATCTCGTTCTCCATAACACTTCGATCAGTGAAATGGTAATGAACCCCATCCTTTTCCTTTTCCCTTGGAGAACGGGTTGTGTGGCTCACAGAGAATCCAAACATGAATGGAAACTCCTTCATGAGTTTCGCTATTAATGTTCCCTTCCCAACCCCAGAAGGACCGCTGATAACAATGGGCTTCTCAGCGTCACCTCTTACTCCCTTACTCCAAGCCACCACCTCAGTTTCAAAATTATTTTGCTGCTGTTTAACAAATTTGGTGTCCACCTAACATAATACCAAAATCATATTAGGTAGTGCTTTAAAACACATAAGAAGACAACAAAATTAAAGCTTAAATATAAAGAGGCATTCTAGTAAAATAAATTTCAACTTCTATTGAAATTGAGTTTAAAGCTTTTCTCCAAGCCATTTGAAATAAGTTCATTTACCCACTAAAGCCCCGTGTGTCAACTATACATTTTAATCAAAAAGTCAAAAAGTCACTATAAATTGTCACATTACTCTCCCTTCTCCCTACTTTTCTGTAGATATTTTCATAAAAAACTAAAAAATTACTAAAATAGCATGTTCTCCCTAACTGGTCCCGTATTAATTTATCTCTAGCATCCCATAAAAATATTTTATCCATAAAAACATTTTATCTCTATACCTTACGAAAAGAAATTTTTCGACACCAAACACTAATCTTGAAAGCTTTCAACGATACAAACAAAAAACAACCTCAAGAAGCCAAGCACAATCTTCAGGAGTAGAATCCCCCTTAACAATCAATATTCGGTCTTCATTTAAAAGCAGGGCTGCATGATCCTTACATTGCTTTGGTTTTGTTCCCAACACCGTGGGAATGGTCCTGCAAATTTGACAAGAAAATTAATAATCCCAGTTCCAATCTCAATTGAAGCCCAATTGCAGCGACCTGAATTTAGAATTTAAGACTAACACTTCGCTCGTGGATCTGTTGAAAATCTGAACTCCAATTGTTGATGCCGATTCGTCATCAGTCCCACCAATCACATACTGATCAAAACACAATTACATACCATGAATTTTTTATGGGGAGTAAAATTCATAGAGCAAGATCCAATAATGGGATGATCAATACCGTTTTATCACCGATTACAGTAGTTGTCTGTGAGCCTTTTAATGCGAACCCATTTGAAAATTCCCTATCCAGATCATCTAGAAAGAAAGCTGGAGCTTCCCCCTGATAACCACAACCAAATCCAGATTAAATCACAGCAAAGAAAATCATTTTGATCCACATTCAATACATACATTTTAATGGCAGTTCAGATCTTTCAAATCAAATCATTATTGTTATTTTTCATTCCTATATGAAATATGAGATGTACAAAAAAACTCACCATGGAGATATATGTTCTTCAAATCCAAGCTTGCACCTGATCAATACACATTATGATGGGGAATAGATCATAACACAAAGTACCCAATTTCTAGATCTTTCAAAGCTGCATTAAATTAAAATAAAAAAAATCCAAATAATGTCGCTCCAAATTCCCAGCAAAATATATATATATATATATATGAACGAAGCATCTACCAGAACGATCTCAAGTACGCTAAGAATTTCTTATTCCATTAAAATTGAACAAAATTAAATTAAAGTATGAGTAGTATTTGTAACACATTAGTGTAGAAAACACAGAATCATACTTAAATCACCAATGGATCAAACTCCATTAAGCACAGAAAATTAATAATTTCAATTTCAATAAATAGATATGCATAAATTGCTGCAAAATACAAAGAATATATAGAGACAAAGGAAAAAAAAACACATGCCAGAGATTAATCAAAGGAAATACCTAAAAATGTTGATTTTGTGTTGCCCTAAAGAGAGATCATTTTGGACAATCCAAGGGGCGATCTGAGTGACAATGAATGAAAAATAGAGATTTCAAAAGAACCATAAAGAGAGAGCAGGAGATTGACAAACAAAGAGAGAAAGCAAGATTGAGAGAGACAAAGAGAGATAGAGAATGAGATTGAGAGGTTGAGAGAGTTCATACCGCCATTTCCTTGTTTAAGCCCAAAAGTGAGATATAGATTACCTTTTTCTTTTTCTACTTTTCTGCTAAGGCGACTGTTCCTATGTCCTGTGGACCTGTTTGGATATGAATCTAGACCACTCGAAGTCTCACACAGATCATGTCCTATCAAATGCTGGTTCAAGTCGAAGTTTTTTAACTCTTCGAAATCAACGAATTTTAAATTCTAGGGCTTAAAATCAAATTCATCGCTTGAGATTTGCACACAACTGACTCAGGTTTATGAGATATTTATCAAATCTCAAAACACTTCACATATAATAAATTCATTGCCTAGAGTTGGAAACTAACTTGCTCAATATGTCCTTGAGAAAAATAGAACATGCGCTCGCCTTCACGAGGCACCGTCACGAGCGGACCAGCACAAGCGCACCATAGCTTCGTGTAAAGCGCTGTTTCAGGATCCACTGCACCAACAAGAAAAGAAAGAAAAAAAATACTCAAAATCAGAGCCAGAGATCATTGTAAACTCATTGGAAAAGCACTGGAATTATAGAGAGAGTTGAATCAATGAAGATGTGTCAAACATACAATTAAAGTTGGAATGTTTTATAATTCTAATGTCTCCGAGACCCATCATGCTAGCAATGATTTAACTGCAATCATAAAGCTATAATCTTTCAAAGTTTTGCTTTTATTTTCAATTGAAAAGTTGTAACAAGAAGGTTTGAACTCATTCAGCTAAGCAAATGATACAGCCACAAAATGAAAACAACTCAAGGAACTACTTCTCTACCAGAATTCTACAAATGATGAGACTAAGAATTTTGTTTAATTCCAAAATTTATGGCAACTAAAACTAGGTGACAGGAATATCTTTAAATGAGACTGTAGAAAAATGATAAATAATATCAAAATCACATGAACGAACATCACAGATAATAAGACAAAATATAAAAACCACAGATCATGCTTTTAATTGTTATGTTAAGCAATAATTTAGTACATTTTATAGTATAACTTGAAAAACCATGCAGTAATATGCAGCCATGCAGCATAGCAAATAGCATAAGGCCACAGCAGTAAGAAATAGATAGAGCAGCAGCTGGCAGGAAAGCATATAGCAGCAGCATACAACAAAAGGAGTAGAAAAATACCTCCAGACACAGCCTACCGGGATAGGCTTCAAAAACAGACCAGATGTAATAATCATCCACTCAATACAACATCCAAAATTAGATATGCATAAAGGTAAGCTGGGTACAAAATTAGCATAAATTAAAAACACCAACTTTCCTTTTTGAGGACCACTCAAAGAACTGCTGCATTTTTGCAGCCTGGCCCTCTTCGTGTCCTCCAAGCCCACATCAAACAGCCTAGCCTTCAGCTTTACTTCATGTGATACTTCAGCATATCCTGTGATCACCAACAATAATAGAAAACACCACCCATAAGTAACTGGGTACAAATCTGCAACAAAACTCTCTTTATGTGATCTCGCAATCCCAAAACCCACATAGGCACACAAGCTCAAGAGTATAGGATATGCTCTGTCCACATGTCTGTAATGCTAACATCGCCATCTGGTAAAAGCCAGTAATCTGCATCGCTCTGCAAAGACCAGAAAAATATATACATATACATATACATATACATATATCAAAATCATGATGTTCTCTCTCTATTTTGATTTGCTAACCCAAGGTAAGCAAATTTGCAGACCGTCCATGGACTTGGACCACCACTGATAGGAAAACTCTGGCTACTGGTTTTTGGTAAAGCCGTAAGGCAATAACTATTCTCTAAATAGTATTGGTTATAGTTGCTCTTGGTAGATGGTATGAAGCTATTCTAAGAGTGTTATGAGTTTTAAGTTTGACTTGCCATTGCAATTTGGGAGCTTCTATTTGCACAATACCCTTTTTCTCAATTCACACCAATTTGGTAGTCATATATCAACTACCAAACAAAAATCAATTGTTTGGATATCAACATCCGAACAAAAATTAATCGTTCAGATATCAACAACCGAACTGGGTTTTTGTTTGGTTGATATCCAAGCAATTTATTTTTGTTTGATAATAATATGATATCTGAACGAAAAAAAAAAGGTGTGAACTGAGAAGTGTGGTGTGCAAATATAAGCTTCTTGGCAATTTGTACCTCATAACCAAAACAACTAATAATTGGTTAAATTCAAGGATTCACATCAACTTCTGGGACAATCTTCATGATCCCACTCACAAAGTCTTGCGAGGCATTTATATCAAAGCATTGTCTATGATCTTCTTGACCCTGTATTTCAGTGTCATTTCTGCTCTCTTCAGTTACCATTGGTGCAGCTGAATTTCCATCAAGCCCTGATGTCAAAGGAATACTTGGGGATGCCTCATCACCATTGATCTCCTCAAACTTCTCCTCAAATTGACTGAAACAAATTACAAATCTAAGTGCATCTATGTACATATATACACAAGTAAGAACAATCATGGTTATAAGAATCTTACGATTCACAATTTGATACAAGTTTCAACTGAAAAGATTCTATTTGTTCTGTTGAATCTTAAATTAAGTGAATCGTACGGTTCAATTGAGATTCAGTATGATTCGTATAGTTCAATTTAGTTTTGGGGCTCTTGGTTCACAGGTTATGGAAGCCTTTGATTTGTTTTTGTCCATCATCCTTCTGGATGGGGCTTATGGAAAATTCATAGTCTACCTCTATTTGTTTTGTCTAGCAGTGTTTGTTTCTAGATTGGGGTGTACCGTATGCACCTCATAACTAAGAAAGAAAATGACATAACTTTATACTTTCAGAGTCATAACTAAAAAAAAAAAAGAGGCTATAACCAAACAACACATGACGCATAACCAATGATCTCATGAATCATAACTAAAATAAGGTCATAACTAAATAAGAAAATTGGTCATAACTAAAGAAGAAAATGACACAACTTAGGGGTGCATATGGTAGGAGGTGTGTATAGTAGAATTTCCCTAAAATGATACCTGAGCACCAAAATAAACAAGCTCTGCCATGTCCTCAAATGTTAGATATGGCACAGGTTCTGCGAGTGCATATATGTTAGGATCACACATCAAAACACCATCAACATCCTTCCACACTAGTAATGGATTGAAAAACATGTTCTTATTTGTCTAGAAACTTGTATGGAAGTCGTGCAATTACAAATTATAGAACCTGAATTAAATTTTCATACTACTAGAGCTCATAAGAATACACTGTTTCACACTATTCCACAGTATGCTATCTACAATGTTATCCCATATCCATGTATACATATGCAGATATATGAACAACTTTTGACATAAATGTATTTAGGGTAAGAATTGACCTGAATTTCTCCCAACCCCAGAGCTTTACCAATGGTTGTGGTTGTCAAATCACTACCACCCCTACTCAAGGAGAAAAGAGATGTTCCTACACCAAAAATAAATTAATTAATTAAAATCTATTATAGGTGAGGTAGTATTAAAATATAAAAAAAAATTAAAAAAAAATCTATTATAGGTTCAGTTGCACAACATTGATATACGACACTCCCTTCCCTTTACAATATCTCATTTGAATTCTTAAAAACTTTTATGCTCTATTACAAATAGAATAGTCATTTTATAAGAGGTTAATATACCATAAGTTTTTCAACAGCATTGGGTTGATGGTTTGATGGGTTGATGGGTTATCTCTCGGAAATATCTTCAAACACTTGACATGCAGAATTCTTGTTTGTTTCCTGTCACAAACAAGAGGGGAAATCCTAACAAAATAAAAAGATTAGACAAATGTTTCAATCCAATAAAAAGTGAAATGATTGAATCTACATACCATATGGAGAATTACTACAAACAAATCATATACCACAGTAAATAAATAAACATTTAAGGTGCAAAACTACAAAGAAGAAGACATGAACTTCATAGATATTATAGGTTGCATTACATAATGAAAAAATTGGAAAAAAAAAAACATAAAATTGATTTAGACAAGGCTAGAGAACACTTGTATATTTCAAACCCATTTCAAAACTTGAATCCCATTTAGACTATTGAAACTCATATAAAAAAAAAAGACAAATCTTAGAGTTTCTGGATTCACATCCATAAGCATGGTGTGTGCTAGATTTTTCTTTCTTTTTTCTTTTTAAATAAGAAAAAAAGGAGAAACAGGGGGGGGGGGGGCCCCCCCCCCAAAAATTTTTTAAATAAAAAAAAAAAAAAAAAACCCCCCGGCATTTTGCATGCTAAAAGTAGCAGCAGATCTGAAAATTTTCTTAGTAATATAGTAAAGAGAACAAAGTACTACCTAATGTCCATAAGAGCATGTGATTGCATGTGGTCAGCACAATCGGTTAATGCATCAGAGAAATTCTAGGAAGGATTAGGCTAGAAAAATTCTGAGAAGAATTGGACTAGAGAAATTCAAAATTTCTCTGGACTCAGCCAATACATTAGAGAAATGCTGAGAAATTCTAGGAAGAATTGGGCCAGAAAAATTCTGAGAATAATTAGACTAGAGAAATTCTGAGAAATTCAGAATTGCTCTAGACTTTCTAGAGAAATTTGGTCCAGAGAAATTCGAATTTCTCTGGGCCAGAATTTCTCTGACCAATTTTCTCTGCACTGAAATTTCTCTGGATCAAGGTTGAGGGACCTTAGACATTATGAAAATATTGTTGAGGGACCTTGGACATTATAAAAATATTTGATGTCCTTTATGCTATAAAATCATAATATCAGGGACCTTAAAAAAAAAACCCCTTATTACTTAGTAAACAATTGAAAAAGGGCAAAATAGTCTCTTGTTCATTTATCCTATACAGTCCGTCCAACCAAACGTTGGATTCATTAAAAATAGTTATTTCCAGACATCTAATCCCGTGAAAAAACAAACACAGGATACATATCCAATCGACCAAATAGTCCGGAGGATTCACAGTCCCAGGACTCAAGTCCAATGGATTCTAATCCCCCTTATCCAGTCCGCCCAATCAAACACACCCTAACTTTTTTTCCTATTCCCAAAACAAAATCCTAGCACACTTTCCATATCACTTTCTCCCTTATTTTCTTTGCTTCTTCCTTTATGGGTTGGGTATCTATCTCTTCTTCAACCAATATTTCTAACCCCTCAAAGAAGTTAAAGATTTTTTAAAATATTTTTAGGCTTTAGCCTATTTTGGAAAATTAGGTTAAAAGATGATTTTTTAACTTTTTTTTAATATATTTTTTAAAAAAATAAAAAAATAATCAGTATTTTGGTTTGAGTTTTTGGATTAAATTTTTGAAAATTGAGTTTTTTGGTTTTCGTATTTTTTTTATTTTTTATTTTTCGTGAATATTTTTAAAATTTTAAATATTTTTTTTTTACTTTTTTAGATGTACCTTACTTAGATATATCTAAAAAGTAAAAAAATTGTGAAAAAATATTTTAAAAAATTAAAAAATAAATAAAAATATAAAAAATGTACTGAATTCTCATATTTTTTTTGTATTTAGTGAATTCTTTTTTAAAAAATTCATATTTTTTTTATTTTTTAAGTATATTTATGTTAGCTATGTCTAAAAAGTAAAAAAAAAAAATATTGATTAAAACATTTAAAAACATAAGAAAAAACAAAAAAAAACGAAAAATAAGAAAGTATAATTTTCTAAAAAATATCTTTTGAAAAACCTAACCAAGCAAACTATGTGACTCAAAAAAGTCAAAAAAAAATAAATAAATTAATTAAAATTTTACTTTAAAAAATTGGCCAATTTGACGACAGTTTTTTTTATATATTTATTTATTTTTGTACTTGTACCATAGTGATCGTGTCAGACATGATTTTAAATTTTTTTGCCCTTTTCGTTAACCACTCCTGTACATTTCAATCCTTATCTAATACAATGATTAATAATTTATTTTTTTATTGTTTGCTAATTTTTTTTAATTAATTGGTCTTTGAATACAAATCACCAAAATACATATTTTCCCTCGACTTCGTCACAGAGAGGTTCATATTAAAGGGTACAGACACTACATGTGCAATATATTATTATCTATTTATCTATCTATACTATTATAAAGTGAACACAATTTATGGTGTCATGAAGCTCTACTCTCCTCATGCCATGTGGCAGTATTTTTTATTTTTTAAAAAAAAGTTAAACAAAGAGATGGGCAAGGCTTGAACCAATGACCATGGATTTAAGAACGGGGACTCATACCACTTAAGTTAAGTACACATTATAATATTAATTTTATTTTATTTTTTTTATTCTTACTTATTTAAATTACACACACATCGTGTGTGCCACCCACTAATTTAAATTTAAAAGTGAATCCATTAACTTGATTTTTAAAATTTGAAGATGTTATGATAGTTAAATTACTGTGAACGTGTGTAGGTGTAGTAAATTACTGTGAACGTGTGAACGTGTGTAGGTGTAGTTAAACACAGGATACTTTCTTTTAGTTCTTTTGGGTTTTGTTTCTTCTCCATCTGACATTTCGAACCACTCAGGGAGTTACAGATTTTTTCTTTCTGCAACAAGGTAACAAATTATCTTTTCTGCATGATTTCAATTTTCTTTTTCTTGTTCGATCTGTGCCCTTCTATGGTCTTTGTTTTAAAACTTTTTTAGTGTAAATAATTTTTCAAGTTCAGTCTATACATAACTCCGTTAAAATTAGCTCTTTCATGGTAGATGGTAGGATTGGTCCGTTGAATAAGTTGGTCGATTAGACTGCATACCCAATTATTTAAAAATTAAGAAAAATTTAGCAGTATTGCACTTGATGAGACTTTCTAATTTGTTGAGCTTTTTCCTTCCAAAATGAAACTTTAAAAACTCTCTATTTTGCAATTTTGAATCTAAGTTAGCAAGAACTTTTTGATTTTTATGGTGAGGTCAGTTATGAGGGATTTCCTGTGAGCGTTTTCTGTTTTTCTCTTGCTTATTTTTCTTATTATTATTTATTAGATTGTTCTTGCAAAGCATCTTGAGTTCTCTCTTTGGAATGAAAGGTAAAGTGTTATATCATTTTTTTCCATGAATAAAATAGAAATTAAAAAAATTAAAAATAAATAATTATTGCCGAATATTCTGACTTCCTTGACTTGAAAAGAGAAAGCATGTGCTTTTTCATCAATTAAACGTAGGTTTTGCTCCTCGCTTACTAAGATAAAGTATTAATCACTCTGTTTGGTTCTATTTTCAGAATTTATTTTTTTTAAAAAAATTACTTTTTCATTTTTTTTGTTTTCGATATTTTTTTTAATATTTTCAGTATTTTTTTTTATAAAAATTTAGACACACCTAATATATATACACTTAAAAAAAATATAATATCTGTCAATTTATTTTAAAAAAAAAATCACTAAATACCAAAATATATGAAAATATAAGAAAATTCAGTACATTTTTCTTATTTTTGTATATTTATTAATTTTTAAATATTTTTCACAAATATTTTACTATTTAGATACATATAAGTAAAGTGCATCTAAATTTTTTAAAAATATTTACTAAAAACAAAAAATAAATTCTAAAAAATTGAATTCAAAAAATTGAAATCAAACACACTAAATGATATTTGTTTTGGATTGTTTTACCCGTGCTTGCTTGTAGCAACGTTCTAGTTTTCAAGTTTTGATTTTTCTCAAAATATTATGAGTCACGTCTTTGTAGTAAGTAAATTTGTACTGGCCACTGAAGGTTGGTTTAGTGGTAAAATCTTTAAATTTTTCGCTCAAAACGTAGGTTTGAGTTTCTATAGTTTTTTATTGGAGGTAAATATATTTCTTAGCGGTTAGAGTATGCGGAAGGTCTTAGCTTTGGCTTCGATGTAGGTGCTGTAGGATTCTCTATAGATACACTATGGGTGCTAAGAGACAATACTCCCTAGAGAGTATGTGGAATAATTTATCTGCATATCTATTTTTATAAATAATAAATAAATAAATTTATGCTGAACTTGATTATGAGATTTTGTGGTAATGGTTGGATTTCTCACCAATTCAAATATGTACTTGAGGAGATCTTGGAACCAACAGAATCGAAGGGAATGCCATTTTATAGCTTTGGCTTCGATGTAGGTGCTGTAGGGTTCTCCATAGATACACTATGGATGCTAAGAGACAATACTCCCTAAAGAGTATGTGGAATAATTTATCTACATATCTATTTTTATAAATAATAAATAAATAAATTTATGCTGAACTTGATTATGAGATTT